AGATTCCTGGCCAACACCAGCAGCAACAACAACAGACAACAATCAGTCAGTATGAATAGGAGGAACCTGAAAGAAACAATCTCCTTTACCTACCTACCTGGGAAGCATCGTTTCAACAACAGGCGGAACTGACGAGGATATCAAAACCAGAATCGGAAAAGCAAGACAAGCTTTCATTACTCTTAAGTCTGTTTGGAGGTCAACAGCACTCCTCAGTATGAAAAACAAGATCCGGATCTTCAACTCCAATGTGAACTCAGTCAGTGCTACTCACTATACGGATCAGAGATTTGGCGAGTCATAAAGACCATCTCAAACCAACATTAGACCTTCATCAACAGTTGTCTTCGCTAAATACTTCACTGAAGATCAGATGGCCGGTCAGAAAATATCAGCAATATTGTGAGATCTCTGGCAATGAGCGAACCAACCCAGCAGGAACCGATTGTGAAACAAACAGGCAGGAAGAAATGGAGATGGATTGGCTGGCCATACTCTGAGGAAACCATCAAGTGAGTGACATCACTAGACAAGCCGTTGCTCGAGTGGAACCTGAAAGGGAAGCGGTGAGTTGGTCGTCATTGTATGGGTGACTTGGAAGAGGTCATGTGAAGAGGAAATGAAAGCATGTGGACACACTTGGAGTGGGGTGAAAGAGTTGGCAGAAATCCGAAGGTAATGGAGATGCGCAGCTGAAGCCCTATGTTCCTCTAGGAATTAAAGGATATAATAATAATAAATAATGAAATAGTATCACCAGAAATTGACGTATAGAAGAGAATAAAAGAGCCGATTACCTTGCGCTTACCGCTGTCTCTATCACATACAAAACAGGTGGATCTTAAAGGGTATCGGTGAGTTTTTGTCCTTGATTGTGCCGGTGAGCAGATTATCTTTTATAATTCATGGATAATCCCCATTCTGGCATTACTGAAAACGCAACACCTAGTTCGTAAATAAATCTCTGAGTTATTTTGTATGTATGTGTACATTAAGTTTGTTAAAGAGAAATACACTCGGCCATATTTATTTTAACTAAAGTGGTGAGATGAGAATTAGTAAGTTTTGGCTACGATTTTTTTCTTTATTCCTTTACATTCCCAGTGAAACATAGGACGCCTTCAAGCCACAGGCTTGAAGTTTCTGTAGCAGTGGTGATCATTGCTAGCCTGATGCGCCAACTCACCTCATTACCAATTTTATTACTGGCGTCTGTGGCTGAGAATCGAATCTTGGGCCACCTTCGTGGTCAGAGAGCACTTTACACTGTGCCAATGACGCACTAAGTTTTGCATGGAATTAAGTAACAGAAAAACGATCGATAAAATTTAGTGTTAGTGTATCTAGTAGTGTAGTCTCAGTAGCACCCGCCGCAATGGTAGTTATATTAGCAATAGTAAGGTAAGGAAGTAAAAACCGATAAAGCATAAAAATTTGGTTGTATGGAAAATTTGATTGCAGCTACATAAACTCGGTATACTATATCTCCATTACCTTATTATCCTAACCAACTGGGAGTACTGGGCAGCTGTTTCGTCCCACTATTTTGGGACTCTTCATCAGTACGCACACACTGATAGGGTTCGAACCCAAGACCTTCTGGTTACAAAGCTAGCCAGGTCGTATACCATTGGGCCACTGGGACCTGGTCCAATGGTCCTTGAATTCTAACTTCTGCCAATTCACGACATAGCGCGACCATTTCGCGATGTCTCCTTCGATGAGTTACCGCCACACCTTCAACCTGCTGTATCCTATTCAAGGACCATTGGATAGGCTCCCAGTGGCTCAATGGTCTACGAGCTCGCCTTGTAACCAGTAGGTCCTGGGTTCGAACTCTGGTGGTGGGTGCGTACTGCCTATGATTCCCAAACTAGGACGAAACAGCCATCCAATACTCTCTGTTGGTTTTCCAGTGGTTCTCTAACTGATGTCAGCTCATGATGAAATCCTTCATGCAATCAAACAAAATCCCCACAAAACCAATACTTGAAAATCTTATAATTTATTTTATGAGGTTAGATTTGAGCTTTTATAGATACCTCTGAAGTGTTCATGAAGGAGAATTGCGACGTCATTGACCAGGGGTAATCACAACTATATTATGTCATTATTATTATTACTATTGCCATATTCAAAAACCCTCTGCGTGGAGGACTAAAACATGCATATGTGATCCAGTGATGATTAGTCGAATATCACAACATTCGATTGCCTTTTCGGTGAATTCTGCACAATGTTTCTAAAGTTTTTCTCATAGTTCTCTTCTTCAATTATTTCTGGTCAGATATTTTGACTTCAGTATAGAGCAAGTCAGAGAAGTTGGCAGCTGTTCGTAAAAGTCTGCAGCTACCTGTTGAAAAGGCTTTTCGTGATGCACTCGCCATGTTTCTGACCCGTTTAGAGGAACTGACTGACTTACTGAGTTCACATAATTGTTGAAAATCCGAATCCTTCTTCTGAGTGTAGAAGATTTTCAAACTGGTTACAGGTTGATGAAGGCGTATTAATATTACCTTATATGGAATTGTGTTCTACTACAGTGATCAAATTTTAACAGGGTTGCACTTTGAACCAGCCTGACTTAGGTAACAATAATGCAGCAGTTTGAATAATCTCCGGTACTGTCACAGTAAGTAGATGCCAGTTTAAAGTAACATAATATTGACTGAAGTATACTCATCACTCAATCTGACCATATATCTAAAAAAAATTTATTTAGAAGATTTCGTTTTAGGTGTCTGGAGGTATTACTTTTTTTGTCACTTCTCAAGAAGATGGTATGAATGAATGAAATGCTACACACAACAACGGCTTGTATTTACATTCAATTATGAATGAGGCGCCTCTATTGCATGAAAGCTACTGGTTTTCTAGTTTTGCTTTTGTTTCGGGCAATTTCTCTACCAGTCATCGGTTTCTCCGCAAGTGAAACATCTGTTGTTGTTGCTGTCGTCGTCTTTTTTGCGTCTGCATAGCCGCCATTTGCTTGGATTCTTGGCACTCTGTCATCACTGGAGCAGCATATGAAGTCATCTATTGCCTAGTGACTTTTGCCATTGCGTGAACAACCATCGGCTGAGGTGAAGGAACTAGCTGCAACTGATGAGCGATATCCTCAGGGACACATTCGATGAACTTGGATGCTAGGAACTGCTCTCACGAATCTTCATCGAATGTGGGTAATTTGCGTTGCAGAAAATTTGTGAGCGTCACTGAGAGAACCAATGGATCCCAGTCTTGGCCAAGCCTTAGAGACCGGAACTTCTTCATCGAACCTTATCTATCAGTGGAGCTGTCGAACTCGCACATGAGCCTTTCAACAAACTCGTCCGACGCCACTCCACCTTAAACCTCCCTGGACATCATCTCAGGCAGCTGTCGCACAGTGAGGTTCTCAGTAGAGTCCCTAAGACTACCAGATTCGACCACTGTTCCTGTACTCTAACCAGATCCACCACGCCTTCGAAGTCCCTGAGGAATGTCCTCACATCTCTCTTCTTAAATACGTGTGGCCACGACACCATTCTCTCCGTCAGAAGCAGTAGCGCCAGTTGTAAGTACGAAAAGGTGAGGCTGATGAGGCTCAGAGGAACTAATATCAGGACAAATTTGGTATAAACTTGGTATACCATATCTCCACTACTTTATTTCCGCATCATTTGCAAATTAGTCAAGTATCACCACATTTGATAGCCTGTTTGTTGAATTCTACACAATGTTTCTAAAGTTCTTCTCATAGTTCTTATTCCTTTGATTGTTTTTTCCAGTGTTGTAAACAATCTTGTTGCTTTTCTGAAGTTCTTCATTGCTATACTACTTATATCTGGTTTTAAGTAGCAATCACTACAGTAGTAGTAGTAGTAGCAGTAATAGTAGTGTCAGGAGTGATTTTCTTTACACTCCTTCATAAATAACGATCACATGAGATGCATGTGGTAAAGCATTCCATTAACAATTACTAATCAATTTATATATGTATATATATAGCTTAAGTCGATTAGGATAGAAAAATTAAGTGTATACGTCATGTTAAGCATATACTATATGACAATGTCAGCATTCCTCAAGATGGTATTTTTATGCTCTAAACTGACAACAGTATTAAGTGAATTTTAAAATATTTTTCTATAAACCCGAGGAATTAAAGTTTTGATGTTTAGGTGTATGAGAGAGAGAGAGGGAGTGAGTGAGAGAATGATGTATGGAATTTCATAGTTGTTAACTGTTGTTTTGAGATTTCAAATTCTTTTTTTCCACCATTATAGTGAAATTTTGAGAAATGTATCTCTATGTGATGTGTGTGCTACTTACAAACACATATATAAGTAATATATAGAGTGATACCTTCAGAAAAGTGATCATAATAGAGATGCAGACAGTTAAGAGGTGAATTCCGATTCATAGAAGAGCCTTATTATTATTATTCTCGTGTGTTCGTAGTGGAACACAGGACATCAGTAGCCTATCGCCACTTTTCTCTATTCTCTACATCCTAGTCTAGTCGATTATACGACTTCCCCTAAATCTTTCATTTCCTAATTCATGCTACCATAGGATTTCCAAATCATCCTTTTTCATCGGGATTTCACTTGATGTCATTGCTGTACACTGACACTTAACGGCCTCCTTAGAGAATGTCCAATTCGTGTTTTTTTTTCTTGTTGGTGGACAAAAGGTTCTTGGTTGCTTCGTCCCCAGAATTCCTTCCTGCTAATCCTTTATCTGTTGGCCGTCTGATCGATATTTAGTACCGAGACAGCCAAGGTAGGTTGTTAGTGAAAGTTTGAATCAGACGAAAAACAGCCGATGACAGTGTCTAGTGGTCGTGGTATATCGTCGTGAATTGGCAGAAGTTGGAATTCATGATATTTGCCATTGGAATGGTCAATCCCAGTGGTTGAATGGTCTACAAGATAGCCTTGTCACAAGAAGGTTTTGAGTTCATACCCTGGAGGTGGATGAGTACCAATGAAGAGTTCAGAACTTGGATGAAATAGCTATACAGCAGCAGTAGTAGTAGTAGTAGTAGTAGTAGTAGTAGTAGTAGTAGTAGTAGTAGTAGTAGTAGTAGTAGTAGTAGTAGTAGTAGTAGTAGTAGTAGTAGTAGTAGTAGTAGTAGTAGTAGTAGTAGTAGTAGTAGTAGTAGTAGTAGTAGTAGTAGTAGTAGTAGTAGTAGTAGTAGTAGTAGTAGTAGTAGTAGTAGTAGTAGTAGTAGTAGTAGTAGTAGTAGTAGTAGTAGTAGTAGTAGTAGTAGTAGTAGTAGTAGTAGTAGTAGTAGTAGTAGTAGTAGTAGTAGTAGTAGTAGTAGTAGTAGTAGTAGTAGTAGTAGTAGTAGTAGTAGTAGTAGTAGTAGTAGTAGTAGTAGTAGTAGTAGTAGTAGTAGTAGTAGTAGTAGTAGTAGTAGTAGTAGTAGTAGTAGTAGTAGTAGTAGTAGTAGTAGTAGTAGTAGTAGTAGTAGTAGTAGTAGTAGTAGTAGTAGTAGTAGTAGTAGTAGTAGTAGTAGTAGTAGTAGTAGTAGTAGTAGTAGTAGTAGTAGTAGTAGTAGTAGTAGTAGTAGTAGTAGTAGTAGTAGTAGTAGTAGTAGTAGTAGTAGTAGTAGTAGTAGTAGTAGTAGTAGTAGTAGTAGTAGTAGTAGTAGTAGTAGTAGTAGTAGTAGTAGTAGTAGTAGTAGTAGTAGTAGTAGTAGTAGTAGTAGTAGTAGTAGTAGTAGTAGTAGTAGTAGTAGTAGTAGTAGTAGTAGTAGTAGTAGTAGTAGTAGTAGTAGTAGTAGTAGTAGTAGTAGTAGTAGTAGTAGTAGTAGTAGTAGTAGTAGTAGTAGTAGTAGTAGTAGTAGTAGTAGTAGTAGTAGTAGTAGTAGTAGTAGTAGTAGTAGTAGTAGTAGTAGTAGGAATATCTAGGTACTTTTTCAATGGTTCTCTAACCAAACTCAGCTCATGATGAAATCCTCAATCAGCCTGCCAGAAACACTTTTGTTATTGTGTACACTAAGTATCTGAAGTATTTGTGAGTACTAACTTATTTGATATTGGTGTTGAAAATTTGCTTCTTGTTGTGTTATGCTGAGTGCAGCAAATTTCATCAGTAATTTCAGAGATATGAAAGTCCCAATGTTGCTATTTTGATCCTGTTTGGCTTTGATATCTTCATCTGTTCCGTCTATGGTTTAGAACGATACAATCTAGATAAGAGAAGGAAGTAACCTCAGTCAAATTTCGCAACCCCCCTATTGACAGTGATTGATGTTTCTTGTTGTTATTGTTGGTTGGTTGTCTTCAGCATCTCTCTCCTTTCTACGTTCACTTGAAAAACCTGTCTGCTCCACCTGCCTTTCCTACCAATTTAAATGAGTGACAATATAATGGAGAATAAAACATTTGATTGCATAGAGGATTTCATCATCATGAGCTGACATCAGTTAGAGAACCACTGGAAAATCAGCTCGGAGTATTGGACAACTGTTTTATCAGCCTAGTTTAGGACTCTTCATCAGTAGGCACCGACTCACCAACGGGGTTCGAATCCAGGACCTTCTGGTTAAAAGGCCGACGAGCTCGTAGACCATTGAGCCACTGAAACCCTATCCAATAGCCAACTCATGAATTCTAACTTCTGCCAATTCACGACATAGTGCGACCATTTCGTAATGTCTCCTTCGATGAGTTACTGTCTCATCTTCAACCTGCTGTACCACCCCCCAACTGGTCATGGCTTCCCACTAGAACCTCAGGTTAACTGTGATTAAGTCACAAAATGTCATGAATTGGTAGAAGTTAGAATTCTGGCAAGAGTTTATTTCAAACACTCTACAGCAATCGTATGAGGTGAAGACAAGCAATTTAGGGTTCAGTGAAAGACAAGCTGGCGTATTGGGCCACGTCTACATGCATATACAAGTTCACTTGCTCTTGTGGAGCTGACTACATTGGCCGTACTATGTGTCCGATTGCAAACCGTGAATTGTAACACAGCATGGTTAGCAAGGGCAGAACGCAAAGGGGTGTATACAGTTCGATAACAGAAAATCTACTGAACATTGGACACTCAGCCCCATTTGAAAAGTCCTTCAGAGCAATATACAAGATCCGATCCAACCACTCTCTCAAAGGAAGTGAAATCAAAATATCTAGGAATAGCTGAGGCACTCCCTATCCAAAAGCTCAAGCCTACGCAATGTGTCCAAAAGAAATGCGTTCAACCATTGTCCCTCCCATGGCCATCATGAAAAGTCAGTCTCACCAATAATGGTTATCCTGTTATCACTCTTGTCCAACTTTCCCGTTTATTTGTCATATTTATCTTTTCATATCCCCATGTGAATTATTAGATTCGGTTACTGTTTTTATATTTGTATGTCTTAACCTCCTACCGATTTCGTTAATACTACATCCTTAACCCGTAATTATACAAACTGACTAGTTTTCTAGTAATTGTAATCCTATTTTGTCATTTCTATCTGATCTTCCTGATTAATACACATTGTAATTTTATCAGTTTGACCTTTGACCTGAAATATTACTAGAATAGTACCTCTAACTTATTATATTATTATTATATCCTTCAATTTATGAAGGAACATAGGGCTTCACCCTCACGTCTCCATTGCGTCCGCTTTTCTGCCAACGTTTTCAACCCGCTCCAAGTCACCCATACAATGACGACCAACTCGCCGATTCCCTTTCAGGTTCCACTCGAGCAACGGCTTGTCTAGTGATGTCACTCACTTGATGGTTTCCTCAGAGTATGGCCAGCCAATCCATCTCCATTTCTTCCTGCCTGTTTGTTTCACAATCGGTTCCTGCTGGGTTGGTTCGCTTACTGTCAGAGATCCCACCATGTTTCTGATCTTTTCTGGCCAGCGATCTGATCTTGAGTGAAGTATTGAGCGAAGACAACTGTTGATGAAGATCTGTAGTTTGTCTGAGATGGTCTTTATGACTCGCCAAATCTCTGATCCGTATAGTGAGTAGCACTGACTGAGTTCACATTGAAGCTGAAAATCCGGATCTTATTTTAGATGATGACTGCTGTTGACTTCCACACAGACTTAAGAGTAATGAAAGCTTGTCTTGCTTTCCTGATCCTCACTGCTCTGATATCCTCGTCAGTTCTACCTGTAGTTGAAACGATGCTTCCCAGGTAGGTGAAGCAGGTTGATTTTTTCAGGTTCCTCCCATTTATGCTGGCTGATTGTTGTCTGTTGTTGTTACTGTAGCTATTGGCCAGGAATCTTCTTCTACAGTCAGTGACTGAATGAATCTATCTTCTGTTCATTATATGTAGTAATTTTATTAATTTGACCCTTGGCGGAAAATAATTCCGGAACGTATTCATCAAAATTCTAGAAGAGAAGTGGTCAAAGTTCAACAATAGCATCCCAAAGGATGCGAACGCATGGGTGACTTTCAGTTGACCAATCATAAAAATAAGTGGCATTTGCACAAAAAATGATGTATTTTTACAAGAAAATAACTGAAAACACATTACACAGGATATCTTTATCTTACATAACTTCATAATACGTTCCAGTTATAGTGGGGAGTATCAGTTGCCTGGACTAATGTCTGTACAAGTATTCACCGAGGTGACTAAAGACGAGCTGTTTTTGTGAATCGTTTACCTCTCTTATCCTGTTGTGTATTCCTCTTTAAAGCCCTCGGTTGAATTACTATGGTTTGCATTAAGAGGATAGACGACTACTGACCAGGAAAATGTGGATAAGAAAACAAATTAAAATAAATGACATCAACTCTAAATCTATCCCTATTTGTGACCCTAACCTTGAACTTAACACCTACCCTAACCTTAATCCTAGCCCTAATTACAACCCTTATCCTAATCGAAAGTCTAACCCTAATCCTAATAATGACCCTTATCCTAACCCTAACATCAATACTTACCTTAAACCTATTCGTAACCCTAACGAGCTCTTAACACATTGTCCAAACAGTACTTGAAAATGTGATCTGAGTGAAATTTACTGCTTAGCTGATGGATAGTTCTGATATTTTAGCTTTGATAATGACAGATACCGTTAGCCAATGACTAGCATGCGTTCAAGGTCACTGGAGCGTTCACACTCCTGAGACGGTATTGTTGAACTTCACCGGAAAGTGAACAGTTTTTCTTTGAGGAAAATATCAACAACATGGCAGTTAGATAAATTAAGAGACATTTGCTTGAAAGAAAAGAAGCTTAGGGACGATCTCATTTGCAAGGTATTGACCTCAAGTTGAACAAATAGTCTTACAGGACCCTTGCACCAAATAGATAGGTAGATCGATATAATGGTTTTAGTACAATTTGTGGTAATCAAAAATGAAGGGAATTCCAATGTCGTGTCAGGTTTCGAATCAGTGGTTCCACTTCTGATTTATGACAAAATGTGAAGGAGTTATGTATACACTGGCGATTTCTTTTGGATAAGACCTAAAAGTTAGAGGGTCAAGTTAAAGTATAATGGCCCTGGCGTGTGAGTGCTCCAATAACCTTGGTTGCATACGAGTTTTTGGATAACGAAACTTACCACTATTATAGAGCCGGTGTGAATGTCTTTCACGAATTAAAATGTAAATTTCACTCCGATCACATTTTTGAATCCTGTTTGGACTATATGTCAATGGCTCATTAGGGTTAGGCTTACTTATTATTGTTATTCTCTTGCGTCCCAAGTGGAACACACGACTGGCTTCAACAACACATCTCCACTTTCTTCTGTTTTCTGCTGTCCTCTTCAGCTGGCTAACCACAGGATTGACCAAACTCTCTCATCTCTTCCTCGTCACACAACCTCCTCCATGTCACAATAGCACCGACAAACCACGAGTCGCTTCCTATTTGGATTCCACTCGAGCGATGGCCTACATTAAGCGCAATGTCATTCGACAGCCTCCTCAATGTGTCCCCGATCCACCCATCTCTACATATTTGTTGGGCCAGCCGCTCTCGCCTGTCAGTCTATCCCACTACAGAATTTCTTGTTGCTAATTCCTCCTGGCCGGTCATTGGATTTTCAGTATGGAGCCAGCCAGCGAATTTGATAGCTGTTGATGAAAGTCTGCAACAGGTTGTTGGAAATGCTTTTTCGTAACATGCTGGCCAAGTTTCTGACTCGTATAGACTGACTGACTGACTTCACATTTATGTTAAAAATGCGAATTGTACGTGGTGAATTTTGTGCAATATAAGCAGTTGTTTGTGAAGTGAATGAATGCCGTTTTCGATCAGACGATTTTGAATATGATGAATGACTGTGGTAAGCTCCTCTTTCCCGAGCTCTTGAGTTAGAGAGGCGCTGGCGTTTAGTGGCTCTTGATTTATCTTGAGAGACAGCAGGGAGTTTGTCTTCTTGGCAATGAGAGCTTCTCTTACTGGCTCTTCGCCGGATTTGATCACTTGTTTTGAATCCAATTTTAGAAGTATTTCCCAAGCTCTGTATCTGTCTACCAAATGCAATTTCTTCGTGGATTGGAGAACTGTGTGAAGTTGAACAGTGAATAGCAGCGTCGGATCCCCTCCTTGGTCTCCCTACAATGGGTCTACTTCGCGCTGAATTCCACTTGACTCGAGGTATTTCGGATGAAATGGACGTAGGAAGATGTGAACCTTGAGTTCCAATCGCTTTTGGTGCAGCTGGAGCACTGACCTCAGACAGCTCAGAAGTAAGCGGGACTGAGTAGCTAGAACTGCTTTGAGATAGAGTATTGCTAATATACCGTTTGCTATCAAACTCTGAATCTGTAACCTTAGAAGATTTGTGTGATCTTCTCCGTTTACCAGCCATAAGGAGCACCCTGTGATTCGCTCATGCCACGTAAGATACTCTCAATCTATTTCGTCTAGCAAATGTCCCCCGAACGAAGCAAACCTTAAGACCTTATCAGCTGATCACAAGTATGATCGGGAAAATGAAAGCACCATGTACTGAATTTTACCTAATTGAGTGCAGTGTAGAGGATTTTCAAAATGGTTTCAGGTTGATGAAGCTGTATCTTATCTTGCCTTTCCGACTCTGGCTGGCTGGCCGGCCATCCGGCCGGCGTGCATATAGTTGAAACCGTGCTTCCTAACTAGATAAATGAAGGAGGCTACCTCTGTTAGGCTAAAGATAAGGGTCAGTGGCTTAGTGGTTAGGACTCTCGTCGACCATGAACATGGTCCGAAGTTCGATCCCCTGCCGACGCACACCTGATATCTATGGTTGGCCTGTAAAATTTGGGCTACCGATATCCATGTTGAAAATTCCATACTTGTACTAAAAATACAGTTTGGAATCAAGCTGTAATCAAAAATTAAATTAATTAGTATTGGGGTCAGGATTAAGGTTAGGGTTAAGATTATTGTTAGATTTGGGGCTAGTATGATTTATTTTAATTAGCTTTGCTATCCACACTTTCCTAGTAAGTAGTCATCGATCGTCTTCCTCGAAATTTTACTAATTCAATCGAAGGCTTTTAGGGAGAGAATGAAAAACAGGATAACAAAGACTAACGTGTCAAATAAAAGCTCATCTTCAACCACCTCGGTGAATACATCTACAGACACTAGTCTAACTTAAAACAACTGATGCTACTCATTATAATTGGGAGTTGTTTTTGAAACATATCAGAAAAACAACAGTGATACATTCACGTTGTAAGAGGACCTCAACAAATTTTCAGACTGGTCCAGAGAATGGATGCTCTCGATCAATGTGGCAAAATGTGCGAATCTGTACAAGCATCAGCTCCTACGAACTAGAGGGAATGACACTGCCATCAGTTCAAACTAATTTGCATTTAGGTGTCGTAGTTGGTCACGATTTGAAAACTACAGCACATTGTCTCGCGGTGGCTGCACATAGTTTCAGGTCCTTAATGGCAGTTCACAGAGCCTTTACTTGAAACACCAGAGATATGTTCACCTCCTTATATACATCTATGGGGAAACCAAGACTAGAAAACTGTATCAAGGTAGCCAGTCCTTGTCTTAAAGGGGACTCACGCATTCTAGAAAGGGTTCAAAGGAGGGCAACACGTATAGTTCTGGGCATGACTAACTTATCATACAAGGAAAGACTAGACAGTTTAAATCTCTTCTACCTGTCATACCGTAGGCAGAGAGAAGATTTAATCATAATGTTTAAAATTTTAAATAATGACTACGGACCTGACCTATTCTGTCTTTTCCTTCACATTGGGTAGTCGGAATACCTTAGGGAACACAGTCGGAGAGTTGAAAAGCCAAGGAAAAACCATATTGCCATGGAGTACTGGCTCTCACACCAAGTCATAAACTCTTGGAACCGACTACCAGAAGAAGTGGAGTCTGAAACCTCAACTGATTCACTCAAGAAGAGTTTGGACAACCACAGAAATTTACTAGAAAAGGATTAGCATAGGCTTTAAGCCTTCTATCCTCAATCAATAAATCTGAATCTGAAATCTCAATGTCCTGTTTAATGTGTTTTATCATTATGATCTATAATTCTTTTGTAAATAAATCTCATTTCTATGCATAAATCACTGTACTTCCTGACTGGTCGACACAAGGTCACTCGCGAATTTGCATTCCATGGGACATGATACTTTAACTTTGTCAGTCAGAGAATTTGAAACACGCCAGTTGTCTGTCAGCTATCGGTTGGTAGGAAGCTGTGAACTTGTATTTCTTACTTTCTCATCCTTACCAATGCCAATCCCCAAGACTCATTTGTGACTGGGTTTCAACATAGAACTTTGCACAGAATTCAGGCTGTTCAGGTTGCTACACTGCATATGGTACAAACTTCGTTGTTTCTTATTTTATTCCTGTACGTTCCCAGTGGAACATAGGGCTTCAAGCTAGGTGATTGAAGTTTCAGTGGCAGTGACGTTTATTTTTACGGGATGCGGTTGTTAGCCTCATGCCCCATCTTCCTTCCTTATCAGTCTTACCACTGACACGAAGAGGTAAAGAAAGAGTGCGTCTGTGGCCGGGAATCGAACCCCGAACAAACTCAGTGAAAAGGTGTTTTATTTTATCAAAAACCAAATAATCCAAATGAGCTATAATGAACAGAAATATACAAGAATAAGAGTGGTGACGATTTGATGGATCTAGAAGATTATACAAAGAGACAGAGAGAGAGAGAGAGAGTGAATGCATCTACATGATTGATCATGAACACTCTTCAGTCATTGATTCTTTGCATCGTAAGAACCGAATCCAGGTAGTCTACACTTTCCGACAGTTAACGGCGTCTTAGGTTGATGCCATATTTTGATTTGGACACCCTTAGACCTTTTACAACCTAATCAGTCTATCGGTAAATATTATTCGATAAAGAATGTGATAACTTTGTTTGAGCATCACATGCCTTAGGCATCTCAATCGATGTAGCTTCAAAACCTCATCGACTGACTAACTCTCCTTATCTATAACTAGGCGCCTTACTTCACTATTTCTCATCATATTATACCATTTAATACGGAAGACAGGATGCTAATATTCTTGGTCAAAGGTGGCTAGTCTTTTCATATCCTTCACTGTCATTGACCCTATCTTATATTCATAAAGAAAAACAGTGGCAACTTTCAGCAATAACCAGATATCATGACTACTCCAGATGGCTAATGCCACAAAAGGGATTTGCAGGCGTGCTGAGATTCCATCAGTAACCAGCCTATTGGAGCTGATGCAACCTCGCAAATAAGTGAAGGGATCAATATGCTCCATTAACCACCACTTCACTACTGCCTATCTTTAAGCTATGAGTAAGTCGGTTTTGGAAATCTTCCGCACTCAGCATTAGGAACAAGCTTCGGATTTTAAACACAAATGTCAAGTCGGTCAGTCACTTCTTCTATACGAGTCAGAAACATGCCCAGCGTGTCACGAAAAGCATTTCTAACAGCCTGTTGCAGAGTTTCATCAACCGCTGCCAACTTCACTGTCTCGTGCCATACTGAAGATCAAATGGCTGGTTAGCCAGAAAGAATAAGCAACAAGAAACTCCTCAGTGGAATAAACCAACAGATATGTAGGAGAAAATGAAGATGGATGGATCGGGCATACATTGAGGAGGCCACAGAATGATATCGCGCTCAGTGGAGATCATCGCTCGAGTGGAATCCCGTCGGGTGGGGGGGGGTTGACGAGTGGGTCGCGGTTGCTATTGTGACATGAAGAAGGTCGTGTGACGAGGAGAAGATAAGAGAGTATGGTCACTCGTGTAGCTAGCCAGCTGAAGAGGACAGCAGAAAACAGAAGAAAGTGTATTTGTGTTGTTGAAGCCAGCCGTATGTTCCACCCGGAACGCAAGAGAACAATAATAATAGTATAATAAGTCGGTTTAGTCCAGGAGCAAATCATACTGCTAAACATTCAGAGATTTCCATGGTTGATTGGATCAAGGGCTGATTGCTGAAGAAATTTCAAGGCAATTGAAGGCTGTAAATAATAGAAACTCCTATGCTTATTCACGAATAATAATAATAATAAAAGACTCACCACACTAGTGATAACATTATTACTATGAGTAGTACTCAATGCTACCAATAGGTTCTTAGTCTCGAGTGTTATTCAACTATTGTTTAGTATTCAGTGTATTCCCCTTATAAACAGAATGTATTTGAATAGTATTACAATCGATATGAAATCTCATAATATCGCTGAGTAGTGGTATATATATATATTCTACACAACAACAATTTCATACTTCGTCATTTTGTCAGATTAATCAATATGCGACTTTTAGACGTAATGTGAAGTACACAGAGAGAAGAACGAAATTGTGTGCAGATTGAATTCATTGTTTCTTCTCTTTCATTTTTGATTATTATTATTATTATTATTATTAATAAAATCAATATTCCAGTGTTGAGCTTTAAAGTCAGTCACTCAGTCATCTGAAATCATGGTGATTAGTTAACTAAACACCTTTTGTGTATTTCAGCCGTGCGAAGTAAGTCATCTATCTACAATTTATGCAGCTGGCAGTGGTCAAAGATTTTAAATATAATTTTAGATTTTCCCGTCGATTGATTGGACCGAAGTGCTCGGTCTCAGATTGACATGTCTGTCGGCTTCTTGTGCAGATGCTTCGGCGATGTCTGGGCATTTAGTTAGTATACAATTGGTGGATGGTGACTAGAAATGGAATCTAGGATAACGCGCATTTCGTCCTATTTGGGACTCGTCATCCGGATGGACCTGTATTACGCAGTGAGTGGTGGATGATGTTCCCGCCGAGGCTCGAACACAGTGCCCATAGTTTCAAACAAGTGGTCTAGTGGATAACGCTTTAGCGTTTAAAACTATGTGCACTGGGTTCCAGCCTCAGTGGGAAAATCATCAGTCACTGAGAAATTCAGGTACATCCAGATAACGAGTCCCAAATAGGACGAAATGCGCACTCTGGCTGGATTCCACTGCTAGTCTTCATCCACCAATTAAATTTTGTAGGTAATATATGTGTGTGAGCACTGTATTATATTATTATTATTGTTTCTCTTAGTTCCTAGAGGAAGATAGGGCTTCAGCCACACGCTTACATTGCCTTCGGTTCTCTGACAACGTTCTCATTACCTGGCTCCATGTCTATCCACATGCTTTCATCTCCTCTTCGAATCCCAACTTTGTCCATGTCACCCTCACACTGACAACCAACCCGCCGCTTGGGTTCCACTCGAGTGATGGCCTACACTGCGTGTTATGTCATTTGATGGATTGTTTTTATAAAGTGTGGACAATCCATCTCCATTTCTTCCTGCATAATTTTTGCATGATTGGTTACTGCTGCGTTGGTTCGCTCATTGCCAGAGATCTCACAATATTGCTGATGTTTTCTGACCGGCCATCTGATCTTCACTAGTATTGAGCGAAGACAACTGTTAATGAAGGTCTGTAGTTTGTTTGAGATGCTCTTTATGACGCGCTGGCCATTTCTATGATGCGTATAGTGAGTAGCACTGACTGAGTTCACATTGGAGTTGAAAATCCGGATCTTATTTTTGATGGTGAGTGCTGTTGATCTATCTGCACACAGACTTGGAGACAGTAATGAAAGCTTGTCTTGCTTTCCCAATCCTCACTGCTTTGATATTCTCGTCAATTCTACCTGTAGTTGAAACGATGCTTTCCGGTTAGGGTAGGTGAAGGATGATATGTGTCCAC